CAAAGCAGTTACCCACAGCCGTAGTTAGCAATGAGGTCAGCGAAGTCCGGACCTCGGTTATAATATTTGAAATGAAATGTAACGTACTGTTTAATTTTACACCCATATGTAAAATATATTCAATATGTAATACTGACCCTACGTGCCTGTCAGTGTTTGAACCTCTGATAAATTTTCACTATAGCTACGGCCATGCAATCATCCCTAATATATTGACATAAATTATAAGTGTTAAAGTAACCTTGTAGTAGAAATAAATATCAAAATATAAATATTTTATAAATTGAATATATTACCTTTTTAAGATTATAAAGAGGACGCTAGTCATTTAAGTCACCTATAATTGAAAAATGACTAACTTTAACTAGTGATTTGTTCAATATACCAGGACCGAAAGACCAGCTTCAAGTTAACTGGGCTGATTATTTTTTTAATTTTTTTTTGTGGGTCTAAGCACTCAACTCCTAACCCCCAATTTGAATACGTTTTGTCAGAGAGAAGGTTGGGTTTGTAATTATTACAGAACTATCAGGGTAAGGGTTTATAGTTCTACCATCATTTTGTAATTTTAAAGGGTGGAGGTTGGGAGTCACACAAATCTAGAATTTTGGGAGGTTTATTTCTTCTACAACTATAATTTATGTCAATACAGGGTGTTCGATATAATTGAGACCATGGGTGATTTGCTGCTTTTCTCAATTTCAGATGCGGGACGATTTATGGCTCTGTCAAAGCACGACAAAGTCGAGTTAATTCAATTACAAGGACAACATGAGGAACACATTATGTAAAATTCGTTAATGTGCCTATGGTTCCAGACTCTTCGGTCACCCTGAATATTAGGGGCGACTGCCTTCACACAAGTGGCTACAGATAGCGAAAGGGAGTAGGAGTTGAGACGTTGTGGGTTAAAGCACTCAACTCCTAACCCCTAATTTGATCTTCCATAATGGCTAACTAGTTTGACATTTGCGTTTGGATCATGCCTCTCCTTCTAGAATTAGCTCTCATAAAATCTCAGCGGTTTGTTTACTTAATTCAAACATTGTATAACGCATATATCAACACTCATTAAACATTTAAATTATCAAAGCCTTAGATAAGGAACAGTAGAGGCACTGATAAGAAACGTGTTTCGATGGTTGCAGTTAAAAATTACACAAGCATATGCTTAATGCAACTTCCTGGGAGGTTTATCTCTGCAACATAATTTATTTCGTTTCTTAGAGCAGAATTAATGACAAAAAGTGCTGCAGACACAATATCAAGGAAGTAGGGTTAAAGAGCCTCGTTGGGAAATTACAGGGTAAATTCAAGTACTTGTGTTAAAACTAAGTGTGTAGAACAAAACTAATTCTAAAAAACTGTTGCAATGAACAATGTGGTTAAGCATTCAGAACAAAATTATTTTTAAACAAAAAGTAAAATCTTTTAAAGTGAAGAATGCAATAAAACAACGACAAGTTCGAGTGATAATCGTGTATGAAAAATGTTTTACCTTCTCTACTTTTTTCTCTACATATACATTTGATGGAATTAAGTCAGCTTCGGCCAATTAAACAGCTAAACGAAAGTTAAAATAAAGTAAAATAAATCTACAACACTCGGCGTTTTTACTTCATCATATCTTTTTTGTACAAATTGCTTTAAACCAGCTGAAATTATTAAATCAAATAAAAATGTTTTTAATCCTTTGAAAGTTAAAACTACCATTCAAAACACTGTAGATTACTACTTTAATATGAACATACGTGTTTAAAGTCCTAATTATATTTTTTGAAAATTCAGCTTAGAAATTAAACTAACAAACTGTAAGTTTCAATTAAAATGTCATTTAAGTGCTTATACGGTTAGAACCAAAACATACCAAGACATACCTGTGTGATCAGACTATTCAAACGGGTACACTGGAAAACTGTCATTCTCGTACACTATAAACGGATATGCAAAATAAGCAGGGAGAACCAATGTGTCTTGGATATGACAGTTTTATAAAATGTAGCCTTTTTCAATGGAAACTAAGGCGGGGTAGTTATCAAGATTTACAGTCGTCAGACAGAGCATGTCTGGACGTGGAGACATGGACTGTAACGACATGATGATGGTCTAAAATCGTTTCAATAAAACTTACTCATCCTCTATATAACAAATATACATGTGGATCAACTTCAGCTATGTAAAGATGTCCTTCGAGGTTAATTAGAAAACAAAACAAACTAACTAAAAAATAAAAATATCCAAAACTGCATTAGTTCAGAGGAATCACCAGGGGTGCGAAATCCCCCCCCCCTTTTGAACTACAAATAAACCTTAATTCTACGAGTCTCCATGTCTATTTCCAGTTTAACAGCGAAACCAATATTCTCAACACCACAACAATGTATTCAAACATGCTGAAAGGCAAGCAGTCCGGTTTCTCATTACAATATGAGTGCACCATCTCGTTCCACACTGTAGTGACCAAGTAAACACTATACTATAAGATCACGCTTTGGCCAGGATATGTTCTTTACATTTTCAATTACTCTGTGGTAACTAAATACTCCTTAGAAGATTGTGACTGCTTACACCAATATATTCCTACCTAATTCGATATCGTACGAAATTAAATGGTAGTATATCTATCTTATACAATATGTTGCAAAATAGTTATTAAAAAGGAATTTACATGCATATAACTGTAACGTACACATAAACTTAATTTGATTAATGAGCGGGTCATTTATGTTTGAAACTTGCATGAATATTTATTTCAACACAGAAATGTAGAATTTTTAGTAATTCTGAAAATTCCGTTTTGAACGAAAGCACTTACATTAGATAAAGAATTAAGGCATTTATCTAGCTAAGAAGTACCATAAACAGCTACAGATCCACACTCTAAAGAAAAGTCTGACGAAACCCATGTATAATTGGTTTCACGCTTTAGTTTACCTGTCACTGAGGTGCTTCTCAATATAGCCCACAAATATTATTAGCGGAGTGTACCAAAGAGCTTCATGAATGGTTTTTCCAGTTGTTTTAACGCAATTTGTATCATGATTGATGTTGACTCTACAATATACACAGATTTTGTTCAACAGAATCTCTTATCTTCTTCTCTGAGTAATTGAATTAATTCAGAGGATTAAACGCACTTTATAAGGACCGCTTGCACATGCTAATTTATTGGCGTGTCGCCACAGACGCGAGCCAAAACGTCAAGGGCGACATATTTATCATCTATATATTTGATTCACAGCGAATTCCTGATCATTTGATAGGGCAATTTAACCAGGTTCCGTTATGGTTTAAATGTATTTATTACAGCCTTTTTAGAGGCAAAATATTCAACATTTCGAAGAAAGAACCCTTCAATACTCTTCATGGAGGCAGGAAATCTCTCACAGAATGCAAAAAAAGTTTAGGAGAGCATCGGACTCCAAATCCACACTACAAGTCGTTCACGCAGGTCTGTAAAAAGTTTGTCAAGATGTGTGTTCTAAAACTGATCTCGCCTTATTTCGCAGAAGTTTTACAATAGGAACTGTGGTGTCAAGGCCATCAAACTGAGTACGGTCGACTATATAGGAAGAGGTTTCGGAGGGAGGGGACTTTAATCTTAAAGGTCGTTCTTATAAGGGCATAATTAACCCTCAGTACAGTCGAAAAATACTATGCTGTCAGTTTCGCAATTCTCGATAAATCTGTTGTTGTTTTAACGCAAAGTTACACAATGGGCTATCTGCGCTCTGTCCATTGCTGGAATTGAACCCTGGATTTTAGCATTCCATATCCGAAAATTTACAGCTGACCCACCGGGAGACTCTTGATAAACCTGTGATTAAATTTGCACCTTTATTAACATCATTCATTGGATAAGGAGATGCCCAAACAGATCAAAAATTAAGAGTTAAATGCAAATTTACAGCAATTTCCTATTTACGGTACGTACACAGAGAATCACATTAAAACATTTTTCAGAGATTAAAAACCAGTTGGAGTTTGTATTTCCAAAAAGATAAGTATAACCTATTGTTATTTTAAATACTCAATAACAAATTCTTTGGGATAAGTATGATCTTGAAAAAAATGGTGACAGCAATATTATTCCTTAATCTACCGTTTGTAAAAGAAAAAAGATAAACATTAAACAAACATTAATTATTTCGTAATTTTAACCAATTTCGATTCCAAATATTTAATCGAAATTATTTTTGGTGTACATAACTTATGAATAGACTTAATGCGAAGTATTTGTTTGTTTTAAACACATAGGTGCACAATGGACTATTTACGATATGTCACCGGCAGAAATCGAATCCCGAATTTTAGCGGTACATGCCCTTACACTTAACGTTGAGCCACTGCGGTGGGGGCAGACTATACGTGACGAAAATTATATCCTAGCCTATAAGGTTTAATTATTTTAACGTCCAGATATAATTGTACCTCAGGCTTTATAGCTTTTTTTTTTTAATTTTACTGTTTTACATGGCCAAAGATTTCACATGCTATACATACGTGTTGGCGTTAAGTGTAAAAGAGGCATTTTATTTTTGATTGGTCAAAGCTAAATAATAGGCTGTATTTTGAGGCTATTGAAGTAACGTATTTGGGAATATGTGTAGCCGAAGGTCATGTGGACTTAGTACAATCTGAAGGTGAGGGAAATTACACAGTTACTGTTTGCACGTGGAAGCTATTTTAATTAATTGTGTGTACATGTGTACGTGTGGATATGAAAGATAAGTATTTTGATATAAATGGCATATGGTAGTATGAATTTGACGTTGAACACTCTGTGTGTAGACAGGGGCGTATTAGCCAATAGACTTTCAAGTTTCGGGTCTACAATGCAACAGTTTGAGGGGTGCATCCTAGGGACAAAAATTTCAAAATATATTTGAAAAACAAATTTCCATACATTTCATTGCATTTTGATTTATTGGTTTTTTGTGTTGGTGGATAATTTTCCTGGTGAGTCATTCGAGAAGGAAGTGACACACTAAAACTGTGGGCCTAGAGCGCCAGTTAACCTTAATACGCCACTGTATGTGGACAGATGAAAGTTATGGAATTTTACTCAACTTATCTATATACTGGAGGAATATATGAGAATTAAGGAGTTTGTACAAGTTAGAAATCTGGGAGTTACAAACTTAGTACTGTACTTGTAATGAGAGAATTTGTAAATTGATAAAAGTTAACGTAAGGATAAAAACGACAAGGAGCTTATATCGTTAGTAGATATGACACTTGAAGGATTGTTCGACGTGTTAAAGTTTGTTTGCTGTTAAGCAGAAAGCTACACAATAGGCTAATTGTACTGTACCCAAGAAACCCGTTTTTTAGCGTTATAAGTCTTCAGACTAACTGCTGCGCCACTGTATGGCTCATGCTAAAGAAAGTAAAACTGATACTGTTAGTGTGAAATATCTCGACCACTACTATGTCTGCCTTATCTCAGCCTGACTAATAAGCCATGGTATTAGGCGAAAGGTCTCGTCGGCACTGGTTATAGCAGATATAGTGTGATTGATATATTCTTATAAATACCTGTGAAGTAGTATGCACTGTGTTGGAATATGTGTTATTTAACTATTGTTATAGAGACGGATATTAGTCATATGTGTGTGTGTGCAAACATGATAACATACAGGGTCCGCCAAAAGAAATGTGGGTATTCAAAACTGCAATAATCGACCACAACAATTGTTGGTATAATTTGTGTTTATTATTTATCAAACTGTAGTTCAATGAGATTTCATGTAACCACTAAGTACGCTAAATAATGTCCGGTAGGTGTCCACCAAGAACTCCTACTAACGTGCTCTAAGATTGACACCTTCCATTGCAGAATCAGAGTTTCACGCGTAAGGCTATTAATTTCTATCATTATGTTGTCTGTCAAATTCTGTAGTGTCCGTGGTTTGTTGATATCTATTCAAAAAACACCTTAGGTGTGAAAAAAGGTACAGCCAAAAAAAGGATTCAACGTGCGACTTAAAGGAATGAAATTAGAATTGGTGGCCAAACTGGTAGCTACACTTATAGCACTGATAAACATTTTACAGCAAATATTCATTCATTAGTTAGCCAGGCCGCATTTCTTGTTCAACTTTTGGCATGATGGTGTGGAAAATAAAATATGTGTACTTTTGGTGCGAAGAAAAAAAGTAGGATGAAACTAAATTAAAATTGGAGATGTTATATCTCAGGTATTTCTTAATGGGTTACCTTGAAATTTGGTATGTGAAGTAAGAGTCCAGTAGAGCATATCCACTGAAAATATGTGATAGTTTGGATTTCCATATTCCGAACTACAGAAGATGGAAAATCGCTAAACTATCACTCCTGTTAATAACATTACGATAATTTACCCGAATAAGGAACATTTCACTTAACACTATATACCATTGATCCTCTTGCTGTATGATAGACGGTTCCATTTTGTTAAAACCACAGTTACCGTTGATGACATGTTCAGAAGGAGCAACGTTAACATCAAGTTCTCGATGGCATGCTCTTGAAGCAGCAATGATAAAACTCAACAATAAGAGAAACGTTGTTGGATTTCCCACCCGTTAATATTTAAAATTTGAACCCTGAAAACAACAGACAACTTTTTCATTAATACTTTGGAAAGTTTAACTATATAAAATCCCTACACTTCTTTTGGCGGACCCTGTAGAAACTCAACGTGTATCTGATAATTTATGAAAATATCAGAGAGCGAGGTAGCGATCCCTATGTAGGGATTGGTCCGGTTAAAAATGGCGGCCTGTACATTGCGTATGGTAGCATATCTAGTACTTCGGTAAAACCCAGCCAAAGGAATAGAGACGAAAAGTCCCTTTAACTAATCAAATACAAAACTGCCTCTAAAGTTCGGCTAATCTTCCTTGACGTCTAGAAAACGGGCCGCAAAAAACATCGATTTTCTTCTTCTCCATCAGCTGTAACTCGTAAACCACTGAATAACCTACGACCAGCCTACACACCAAAACACTTCACTGCTACCTAGGATGGGCCTTTTTATACCTAGAGCAGCAAGTGATTTGCGATAGGTTAGTTACAGCTCAAAGTGCTGATCCCGGTCTCTAATCAGTAAGCCATTTTGTGCGTCATATGGAAATAGATAATATACCGTATACCCCTTACCGCGCCGCACAGTATCCAGATAATTACTTATATTTCTTCAAGAAGTAACGTTTATAGATTATATTATAAAATAGAACTGAATAAGTTGGTGAAATGGTGTCTTCCACCTAGAAGTTACAGCCACATTGAAAGGCAAGACTCATTCCTGCATTCCGTCACTCATACACTGGACTCACAGGGTAGATGCACATATACGTTAGATGGTGAAATGTAAGATTTTCCTCCCATCCTAAATGATCTCTAGTTTCTGATTTTTTTCCATCCCTACATCCCAACAATTCTAAAGTAATATTTTTCGTTACTAGTACATATATAGTAAAGTAAATACAAACAATACACGCGTGCCTTTCCTTGGTCTCAAAATATAACTTAAACCTGATGATCACGTGTAAACGATATTTGTAAATCAGTTTTGTTAGTGTTGCCTATCTAGAAGGAACAGGAAAAAAGTATCATTACAAGTAGTAATGCTCCCCTCCAAGTGGCTCAGCGGTAAGTCTGACGGATTATAGCGCTAAAAACTGGGTTTCGATACTTGTGGTGGGCACAACACAGATAGCCATTGTGTAGCTTTGCGCTTAACAACAAACAAACAATGTTCGTGTTAGATAAACGTGTCATTCTGCTCTATAGTAAAACCATAAACTTAGACCTATTATGTGTATTTGGTGCAAATGAGAATAAAAAACAATGTTGCAATCAAATTTCACTTCAAGTGCTAAAAGGAGATGAAAAATAAATTCGTATATTTGGTAACAGCTTCTTAACATGATCAAGTGTATGTTAATTTTATATTTCATTCCTTGGTTTGTCTGACCTCTCTCTGTAATTTACCAAAAACAGAATGTGTCATTAATTTAGTAATTAATTATTCAATAACTTACCAAGAGCAGAAAGTATCTATATTTCAGTAAATAGTTATTCAACTACGCATCAAGGTCACTGAGACAAGAACGCAATAGAAACATCGAATTTCTGAACTGCCAGTTTCTCGACAACACAAGGAAATGTGCAACTATATGCCACCATACAGCTGGTTAACAGATTTGAATACCTATGTTTCACGAAGCCCTGCTTTCTAACAACTGATATAATGTACGACTATGTTCCAATAATTCATACTTCTCCACAACACCCATATGTAACACTGTTCTAATAGTATTCACTTTCTAACAACAGAAATCAAATGTAACTAAGTGTCAACAAAAGCATGTGTAACTATTTTCCAACAGTCATGTAACTAACTATGTTCCAGCTGTTCTAATTTTGTAACAAAAGTAAGCATACGTAACTATGTTCCAACAGTACTCATTTTGTGCTTTCTGTTGTTACAAAATGAGTACTGTTGGAACATAGTTACGTATGCTTACTGTTGTTACAAGTAACTATGCTCCAACAGTACTCATTTTGTAAGAACAGAAACATATACAACTATATTCCAACAGTTTCACTTTGTAAAATCAAAAGGCATCCGTAGCTATGTTTCAGCAGTCCTTATTCTGCGAAAATATAGAAAAAAACACATAATCATTCTGCAATAGCCCAGCCCTCAACAACATATACGAATTTGTAGCTATGTTCCAGGAAATGATGTATCTTCCTAACTACTCCTGTATTTTGCAACCAACTACGCGTAGATCTATTGATTATACAGAAGCTATGTAGGTTTTGTAATTTTTTAAGCTAAAACATAAACTTCATAAAGGACAGTTATTTCTAACGGAATAGATCAACTGTTTGTGTGAGCACTTTATAAAAATAGAAGTACTTATAATTCTAATTTTCTATGTTAACCTTATCTCAAACTTAGTCCATACGATTGATCGCAATACTTGATCGAACAGATCAACATTCGCTTTCACTGACTGCCCGAAAATATTGATCCCCTAACATTTTTATTCGAATACAAACCGAGAGAAACGTAAAATCGAGCAATAAAAGTTATTTTATATGCACTTCTGCTTTCAAATTAGTTTTATGCAATAAATTATAATAAATACAAAGTTACGGAGACAATTTTTATATAAATATTCCACATATGAGTACGTATCTTTTGACATCGGAAGTGTGCATAGATTCAAGTTCACTGACCTGCCGTAAGGTGAACACCTTGTACACAACAACCACAAAGCCAGGCGGTTATTAGTGCACGGAGCCTTCCGAACTTATGTTCTTTCAGCGAACTGTAGAAGATAAATTATAACAACTTTTGAGGTTAGTTTATTTTAAAAACGAACTTGTTGTGTGTGGTACAAACATTTAAAGTGTGTAAGCTATTTTGATCCCAATTTTTATATATAAGTTCAAGCAGTGTGCATAATGTAATCTAATCTTACCGTCTCTGTTCTCATATGAAAATGAGCCAGCTATGGCTGACGAGTGTGTTTATTTTTTTTAACACTTTGTTTACATGTTGTTTAATTAAGTTGCGCTCCCCATCCTTTATGGAAATATAGATGTGGCCTTCTATTATTACTTTGAGTCTCGTGTAATGTTGATTAACTATATGTTTGCAGTAATTATGGTTGTGTAACTCTCATCGATGTTGATGGAGAGCTTCTATTATCCCTAACTATACTCTTTTAGTATATTAAAATTCAATTTTCTATTCTATTCAGAATAAAGCTAACTTCTACTAGAGGTAATTACAATCCATATGGCTGAGTTATAGTTTATAGTTGTAACCATTTAAAGTTACGTTTTTCAGTTTTTATCCTATTTTGTTTGAAAGTATTAAGTTCAAATTGCATAGTTGTGCAGCATAACACGTTTTTAGTACTTTAACAATAATTTGATGCTCAGTAAGCTATGACTTCAATTTTTGTACACTCTCTTCCTAGACATAGAATTTTATTTTCGTTACCTGTTTTTTGTTTTTCTTCCCTTTTATTATTGTAAAATATTTAAATGTACAATTAAGGGATTCTCTTCACATTTTATTAATTGTCTTTGTCTTTTCACAGAACCAATGTTATCCTGGTTTCTGTTGTATGCTGTGCTCTCTAGAGATTAAATGGAAACCAAGTGTTTGCTTCCATAAAAGACGCGAAGTTTGCAAAAAATTCAAAGCACTACACAAACACGGATATATATATATATACATATTTGAGTGTATAAGCTTACTAATTAAAGAATGAATGATGATATGAGATGGAGATTTTTCGTTACTAAAATAAGACTACAGATTTGGTTAATATGCATAGTTGGGAAAGGTAATAATAATTGAGAATAATTTTTAGTTTCGTTTTTATGTAATAAAATGTTGGCCCCCCAGTGGCATAACAGCATGTCTGCTGACTGCAACGCTAGCAACCGGGTTTCGATACCCGTGGTGGGCAGAGCACAGATAGTCCATTATGTAGCTTTGTGCTTAACTTCAAACAAACAAACAAAATAAAATGTTGTGCTTTAAGAAATATTATTTCATCCTGTGTAACGACAAAATAAGTACATTGAAAATGGTTTCTGTGAGATGTAATTTGAAAACTTAAAGTGACACAAGCGTACATGCTACAAAGTTATAGTACTCAATGCCTTGAATGTGATAAACAAACAGTTCGAAACCGCTTTAGGCTCGCGATAAAAAAAAAAAGAAGCCAACGTGATGCTATTTTTGGTGCGTTTAAAAAAAATGTAATGTATCCACTTTATTTTTTATTCTAAATGTTGAATCTTTCCTTTAATTCCTGTAACGACATGTTCAACTTTATTTTTCTCGATTAGTTAGTTTGTTTGTTTCTAGCTAAGCACAAAGTTACAAAATGGGCTATTTATGCTGTGCCTACCACGGGTATCGAAACCCGGTTTTTAGCATTACAAGCCTTTAGACTTATCATTGAGCTACTGGGTGCCTTCTCAATTAGAACCAGCTTTTTATAGAAATGTGCAAATTGCTTTATAACGCCTGTACTTGGAAAATCTGTACTGAGCCTTGTCTGAACCAGAAAAATTAAAAGATACGCCACATAAAACACTAAAATCATCATGTCGCCTTTCTCGAGAGTATGTTGTATAATATAAGATACTTTAAAATAGCTATGTTTCGGGACCACTAATGGTCTTATTCAAGAATTATCTGTTGTATAACCCAACACATACACTTTTGTCTGATTTCACTTTAGATATTTTCTATAAAACTAGCTTTGTACTTTTCTACCTACTGTTTTAGTAGCATAAGCAAACAATTTTGTTTATGTAAAGGGGAAAATATCTGTATAATTTTCAATTATTAGTTCTTTAACAAAGTTTGACTATTTCCGTCTATGCCGATTTACTTGTTTTTTGTGGTGAATTTTTGGGAATGGTTTGATTAATTTTATGGTTGGTTCGTTAAAAATAATTTTCTATTTTGAACACTTCAAGTTTGCTATGATAAGCTCGAATTCTTCGATATCATACAATAGACAGCTTTCCAAACTTAATGCAAAACCTGCTTCTAGGTTATCTAGTTATCTACTTTACAGCCCGTTATCAACACGCTGGCATGGTACTGTGTACTTTAGAGTCACTAATGATTAACGATCCGTACTTCGTATGTTGGTTGATACCAACGACACTGAATGTTTGCTTTAACGTCGAGAATTGGTTAGCTCTGTTAGTCTAACCTGTTTCATTAAAATCGTTCAAAGTTTCAAGCTGCAGTGCAGATTCCTTAGTAATATGGCGTTTGTTATATCACTGGTCAAAACAGCAAGATTCTGTCTTCAAAACTTTTCAAAATTTGAATTAGAACGCTCAAATGAGTAAGAATAACAGAATTAGAAATAATAATTTACCTTATTCATGAATGTCAATAATATTTAATTAGCATAAAAATGTTTTCATTCACACTTTAACCAAATGAAAAGATGTACTTTGTTTGTTTTAATGAATTTCGCACAAAGCTACTCGAGAGTTATCTGTGCTAGCCGTCCATAATTTAAAAGTGATATATTAGAGGTAAGGTAAGCTAGCTAGTCAACGCTATCCTCTGCCAACTCTTCGGCTACTCTTTATCAACGAAAAATGGGGTTGATTGTCACATTATACCCTCCCCCGCTCCCCCTGTAAACCATAAATTGCGAGTTAAGCGTCCTGATCACCAGGCTAAAACATAGAGAGTTATATTTATTTTTATTCGTACACTATCTCAATACAGTTAAATATATGAAACTATGTATCTAATTAGAAACTACTGAAGAGTTTAAAAATCTGAAATAGCTTTACAAATGACTGAAACTATAGAAATCGAGTTTCTATTTCTATAAATAAATTTTCTCGTGAGACATATCTTTATTGCAGTAAACTAGTGCTGAAAATTATACTAAAACTCTGATTTTTGAAAAGAAAAAAATAAACTCTAATTCAGTTACTAATAGATAACTGTTAAGAAATATTTTGTTTCGAAAATCTTATGTTCACTAGACGCAAGATGCCGCTCTAGTATCGTCATCGCTTCATATAACGTTCTTCTCATAGGCCCTGTACTTCAGTACTTATCATAATATAGGATTAAGGTCGTGTGTCTGACGTACAAAAATTTTTATTTCAAAGGTTATGGGCAATGAATCTGATGCTGAAATATTATAAAAGGCAAAAATTATATTAAATAGTTTTAGATACAGAAGGTTAAATCCTAATATTACTGTTACTAGTGTTAGTGCTTTACCGATGACGCCTCGTTTGGTTCGTTGTAGTGATACCACATGATGTAGTGATGTGCCAAATGCTATGTTTTTGACACGGTAAGCATGTCTTTTTGTTCTTTTACTTTTAGTTACTTTACTAGAGTAGAGATGTTGTGAATATCGTGTATTAAAATAATGAGTATAGAATTATTAAAACAATAACCTATTTATATTTTCACAAATGTTTATTCTAAGGCTCTTTACGTTGAATACTTGTTTTAGTATTTTTAATTTTAATCGTTTGATTATGTAACTATCTCTTCTTTGAAAATCTTACAGATTAAAAGCCTAATGATTATTATTAAAGTAAACTACTGGTACGCTCAGAAGCGCTGCATAATAAAAAGTAAGTTATATTTTCTGTGGTGAAGAAACTACATAACACTCAAGATACGAGTAAAGTATATAATTAAAATTGGACACTATGGTTTAATTTTGACTTCAGAGTGCAAAGCTATTGAACTTGAAGACATAATCATAAAAATATTAAAGTTTATAACTAAGGGGGTCATTGTGTTAAATTTATTGTATTTCATTTTATTTATTATGTTTTTCTTTGCATGTAATTAACGTTGTTCGGCTTGTCTTGTAAGATTGTACCTTACTTATTTGTATTTGAAAAGGTAGAAAGAGTGGGAAAACACTGAGCACTGAATGTGTATAGATTTGCTTAAAAGTAAATTGTCTTGACTCTTGTTTCATAAAGCATTCAGCCTTAATGCTTATTAAATACAGTGATAGTAAATATTAAATTTTTCTTTAAATAACTTAGAGATAAAAAACTTGTTTCCTAAAAAATACTTGTACTTATTAATATTGTAATTAAATGTTCATATTACTATGTTCACATCAAAACAATCCAAGTTGATGTAAATATACGTTTTTTCTACATTTTTTTTTCTCTATGACTCATTGATCAAATTGTCTGACTGTTGTTATATAATCTACTTTGAATCATTCATCAGTATCTTAATTTGTTTGAGTTAATATCATTATCAGTCAATCCTGATAACCGGAAATTACATTGTTTGGCAGTCTTATGCGAAACCTAAGGCTTGAGGTAAAAACCTAGCCGAAAATTTTAAAATGAACGTTCGACAGTATTTTTAAAATTATCATGATCAATTAATACGATATCAGTAACTGTAAATGATTGTCTCTCTCTATTCGTGTATGGCCAGGTGGTTGGAGCGCTTGATTCGCAATTTGATGGTCGCGGGTTCGAATCTCCCTCCCACCAAACATGCTCGCCCTTTCAGTCGTGGGAGCGTTATAACGTGACGGTCAATCCCATTATTAGTTGGTAAAATAATAACTATACCAAAATAGTAGCCCAAGAGTTGGCGGTGGATGGTGATGACTAGCTGTCTAGTCTTTCACTCCTAAATTAGGAACGGCTAGCGCAGATAGCCCTCGTGTAGCTTTGCGCGAAATTCAAAAACAAACTTTATTCATGCGCTATTAAATTTGAAGTTACCTTGCTGACGAATTGATGCTCTTATTATTTGAGCTTCAAATTATAGTTATTTATAAAGTATTGGTAATCCCAAACTGCAAGCAAAATTTTAAAACATAAAGCTTAAATTATGTAGCGAGACGTATTTGCTGCTTTCTTTCCATTGATGATAATTAGGATTTTGTTGTTATTTTAGTGGTTTCTAACCGATTAAATCTCAAAAAAACAATTTACGAGACTGAAATAAATGTTTATAAAACGCAGACTCTGTTGAATTTAAACCTGTGATTCCCGACTTTACTCCTAAACTGTTCCAACAAGAACCCTCCACCTCTATAGTATTGTTACTATTATTGCAGTATCAACGCTGGTGTTGTCCCTAGCATTGTCACGCATCTATTCACTTATACAGTTGTCTCTATCTTTTCGTTTTATTTTTATTGTAGACTGATATGTTACTAAATTTGATTTAGTGCATCCTGCACTATAGCAAAAAAACAAAAACAGAAAAAACGAGTATATGAAACTGGCTGAAGCAATCTTGAGCAAACCAGTCACAGTGGTGTCAACGTTGCCAACTCATATACTTTCTTACACCAATAAGATGTATTATCTTTATTCAATTGTCTTTAAGTTTATTTTAGAGATTCTTTTGCATTATTATTAGGAGAAACTCAGATACTCATTGTACGAACTTTGCGTACCTCTGGTTGAGGGATCAGTGCGAGTTTAAATAAATATGAAGCTGAGATGTCTTGGTAGCTCTGTTTTATATACATTTGTTGTTTTTTTTTAGATACTGCTACAAATTAAATATTTTAGTAAGTACAATCGTATATATTTTATTTTGTTTATAAAATCAATATTTTAAGCAGAAAACTAGGTCAATTGAGAAAATTGTGCGCCGGGTGTCTCCTCTCTCCCTTATTCTGTTGACCCACTTAAAGCACGTGTCAGACAGTGTAGTAGTCTATCCCGTCAACTTCGTTCATAAACCAAATCAATTTAACTTGTTCACTTATCATTTTGAACCTAAAACTGGCCACAATATTTATTTATATTTCACTCTCTCTCTCTCCATTTATTTTATTATAATGTATTTTTCTTTATCTCTTTCAACTTGTCTCCAACATGTTTTAATTTCTTTGTTTTACTGATTTTCCGTCTCTAATGCCCCCAGTGGCACAGCGGTATGTCTGCAGACTTACAACGCTAGAATCCGGGTTTCGATACCCGTGGTGGGCAGAGCACAGATAGCTCATTGTGCAGCTTTGTGCTTAATTATAAACAAACAAACCATCTCTAATATTTCTTATTATTTATATTGTCTTTCGATTATGTTTATAATGTGTATCGGTCAAGAATCTAAAACATTATTTTTTGTATATACTAACAATAAAAAATGTGATGAGCACTGTAATGAATTTTCATAATCCAAAACTAATACAAGATTTATAGCGTTACAGAAAAACATTAAATATCACAGGTTATCACATTTAGTTATAAAAAACTAACAAATCTATATACATATGAAATGAAGACTGTAAAAATCGATGTATCCATGGCCTTGTTGCAAATGTTGTTCTCATAGGAATTACTAACATTTTTATTTGTTGGAGGATTATTACTTCGTTTCCATAGAGACAAAAGTGCATAAATCATAGTATCTGTGGTTGTCAAACATAATTACAGTTGTTAGTGGTGAAAAGAAAGAAAACGAAAGCTAAAAAGGTATTTTGTACTGATTAATTCAAAGTAATGGAAACAAAGATCACAAATTATATGACTTATCATTTTAAATTAAAATCGAATAATTGTTTGGTATTATTTCTTTAATCATAATTCATAAAAGAATATTACCCTGTAGCATAAAAATGTAGTTTTATGAGTTAATTTTGCATAAAAAGTAGATTTTATCTAAGAGTTTAAATAAAATAATTTGTTTTTAAACACACATGTACACAGCGTGGTCACAAGTAAATAGACACCACCTTTTCAGAAAAAATGAAAGTTTTCAGTCATATTCACATGAATTGATATATTTATAATTTAATTAATAACTAGTAGATCTTCCTTTCGCTTCGTGGAGTTCGTTGATTCTTTGAGGCATCGTGAGAATCATCTCGTCAATTTTAGATTATGGGATTTTCGCCCACTCTTGCTTCAAAACTTGGTGTAGATCGCTCTTCGAAGTTGGTTTTTTTTGTTGTTTGTTGACTTGCCGGTCGAGTATGGCCCAGAAGTTTTCGATGGGGTTCATGTCAGGAGATTGGCTCTGCCAGGGCAACTACTGGATACCATTTTCTTCCTGCCGCTTTTGGATGTTTCTAGCAGTGTGACACGGTGCTCAATCTTCCTGGAACAACGTTGTGTTCTTGTCCACGAAACCCGAGGAATAAAGTGGCAAGAGTCCTTCTTCCAATATTTCGCAAAATTTATGTTGCCATCGCACTCCACTAAGCTCGATCTCCCACCAACCCAAACCACCATGCTTCACAGTTGGTTGCAATCTGTTGAGCCAAAACTCTTGGTGAGGCATTCTCCAGACCCATATCCCTCCACTGTT